CATCCCTAGTAATCTTAGGTAGGGGGCGCGCAAAAACGGAAACATCCATTTCACAAATGCCATATACTTTGTGACCATGCTTGGCTGCTACTGCATGCGGCTGCAAGAAAACCCTGCTTGGCAATGCGTTTCTTCTGCAAAAGCACCCTGCATCCCAAGATTCTAGAAAGGTACTACAAATAAACGAGTGACTGCACGCAGCGGGCTCCATAAAAGACCGAATTGGCTGGCGGCGCCTCAAGGGCACAGAGACTTAGATACAAATAAGGGGGTTGTGGGGGATTGAACATAAGTGCGTGGCTTCAAACATTTAAATGGTTCCATAGCCTGCCATAAATCCACCGTTGCTGACCCCTGGTGGATATATCGTATGTAGTTTCCCAAAGCAGGGGACCCCAATGTAGACCCGAAAATATTGATTAGAATCCTCATTACTGGCACCCGCAAAATGGTACCCCTAATTTTCTGAAACCCCTGTATAGAATCCCAAAACAGTTCTTACTGTGCATGCAGGGGGCCAATGCTTAGATTGACTTTGGTTACAGAGGGAGGGAATAGGAAAGGACACCGAAACTACTACACATCACAGGGGGCTTAATGCTCAAACTTCATTGTTCCGGTGGTTTAGGGTTTAGGGTTTAGGGACTTTAGAGTTTGATTCCTGCGTTTCTTATTCCGCGGCCCCTAAGAACCAACACCTCCAACCCCCAACACAAAATAGGGCATATTTCTAATATACAATGGTAACACTCATTAATTATTGTTCAAGGAGTGGGTGGGCTCAGTATGAAAGCGGGACAATTACTAGCCACTCTAAACCCTAGACCCCTTAAGGGTCTTAAAAACCCTAGCCTTCGGCGCCGGCACGTGGAGAGTCACAGCTCCGAGCAATGTGTCGACCAGGGGCAGCCACGCTTCCACGGCGCTTTGCTTCCAGGCATTGCCGGCTAGGCCGTCCTGGAGTCGGGTTGAAGGTTTAGGGGTTAAGGGGTGAGGTTTTGGGGTCTAGGGAAGTTTCCATACCAGAGTACTTGGAGGCTTTGAGGTTCATTCATTCCAAGTAGGACTCATGTGCTATTCAAATCATTCGAAATGCCTCAGAGTCTGGATTGAGTCACACCATACTAAGCCCAAAACCCTGCGTCCAACACGATGACACATCTCAAAGCCATACCCACATCCCTATGTGGGAAAGCCTTTCTCATGGGTTCCCTACTACCCCCCTCTTTACTATCCCCCCACCCTTTTGGCTCCCCCTCCTTCAACCTCAAGTAAATTTACTTTTCCCAAAACTCCCTAAATAACCGTAATCAAGGGGGAATCTAGGCCCTAAACCCTAAACCCTGAACCCTAAATAGAGAAGGCCAGTAAGGGGACCCATGACTTTCGCATACAAAAACTTTTGGCCTCTTGTGGGGCTGTCTGCTGGCCCCGACGTCTTTCGTCCAGGTGACGGACATCCAGCAGGACCAGGGTTTAGGGTTTAGGTTTTGGTTTTCTCTCTTCCCCAATGACCAGACCCCAAAAAGTTCAAATTTTATAATAGAGAGCAAATAAGGAAGCCCAAAAAAATTAAAGTTCTTCAATTTAGGGTTTTGGTTTTGGGTTTTGGGCTTAAGGCCAAAGTCCCAGGAGTGACCCTGATAGACAACTAAACGTCTGAAAGATGCTGTACCGTCCACCAAACTTCCGCGTTAGCCCAACTGAATCCCTACAAGGACTGCTGTCATTTTGCAGGGGGTCTAAATACAGGTTAGTCGCTTCCCGAACCATCGCCGTCCATACTCCCCCGCTAATGAGGGCTAAAGGGGGGCTAATTCAGGGGTAACCGGGGGGGTTGTAAAGACGTAGAGGGTCAAGCACTCCATGACCCTCAGCCCTAGACACCTTAGTTAATTCCGAACATCCCAAACTCTGAACCCTACGCCTTAAAACCTAAATGCCCAACCGTACATGGTAGTCTGCGTTAGCTGGGAAGAGTGTAAGTATGGACCCCCGCGACGTTCATAGGATCCTATACTGCCCGCAGCCTTCCACGCCCCAGCCCTAGAGAACGCCTAGATAACCCGAACTAACATTTGATCAGACCTTGTTCAGGCCCCACTTGTTAACGGGATGTTAGACTGGAGGTACAATAGCATCCTATGGCACGGAACATAGAAGGCACACCCAACACATTGTTCGAATAAAAAAGCACCTATAATATTTGGAGCATCATGGACCAACAAACTTCTGGCTTCTGCGGCCACAGCTATTCGATAGTGTGTAAGCAGTACTTCAGACACATGGAAAGTTCTAGCACTGGGTTGGCCCCTAAAACCCTTTGAAACATATTAGTATATAGGGTCCCTTATTACAGCCACTAGGGAAAATATTGAATATCCTAGGGGCCTACCCAGATCACAAGAGGGAACTTGATCTCTAACCATGCCGGCAGGCACCTGACAGGCCCTCTGCTAGAGCGCTTTTGTGTGAAGATTACAGTTTAGGGCACAGTATTTCCTATCTACTTAGTCTACTTATCATGGGCTCTGCTGACTACCTGCAATCATATTACCGCCCTTGGCATACAACAGATACATACAGTTTACCAGGAAACAACTCTCGTAAGTGCAGGTCCAGAGGCTCCTACATTACCCTTACGCGGTTTAGGGTTTAGGGTTTTAGGGTTTAGGGTTTAGTTTTTGGGGAACCCGGTCCTTTGGGACAATTCCCAAATCCTTCAGGCGGTCTAATGCCGCCACATCAGGCGCCTCGAGCATTCCGTAAATCTCTCCTGGGTTGCACTTGACATTGACCAAGGAAGTGCTCAAACATGCTTTGGCATAACATAAGGAGTAAGCTACTTGACTTTCTTTATATATATATACACATGCATATATGTATATATATATATGTCCCCCCCATAGCAGAACTATGAAAATACCTTTGCGGACAACCTCATACGGCCTAACGAGGGAGGTTGGTCAGTTGTATTTTCAAGAGTGGCGTCCGCTGATTTTTACCCCGAAATACTGAAGCCCATGATGTCGTAGTTTCCCAAAATAAGGGGACCCCAATATAGACCCCAAAATACTATAATCCTTATTACTGGGACCCCCAAAAAGGTACCCCTAATTTTGGGAAATCCCCATGTAAGGACTACCAAAACAAGTGTCCGGAAGCCTCCAAACAAGCATGCCAAATTGCCACCTAGTCTCTGATTGGCTGCAGCACCTGCAGTGAAATACTCACGTGTTGTTAATTAGGGAACGGAAGAATGTAAAATCATATTAAACAACCTCCACTCCCTTGATACACCAGAATACTTACTGGTTCTAAGTAGGGAATAAAGGAATATAATCCCTAGAATACTTTTTTTTTACAATTCCCTATATTCCCTACTAAGAAAAAGTAAGTATAACGTACCTAGGGTCCTGCAGGGGTGTTTGGGATTCATACGCATAGTTATGTAATTGGGGTGCCCCAGTCTGCAGCGCTAGGGTCCTTGTCATTGTCTGCTTGGGGACATCTCTCGAAGTCCGATTCTAGGTGCTATATCGAAAGCACCAAAAATGTCTTTGAATTCTTTACATTCTACAACAACAAGTTAATACTTATCCTTTAGTCCCGGTGAGTCACGTAGTTTACATCTCCGCAAGGGTTTTACGGTGTCTCGCATATGCCTACACAAAGGAATTGACCGAGCTTTTGCGCACAAAGTTCATGATTGAAGCTCAACGTTTAGGGTAGATGTCGTAAGAGATCTTCAGATAGGACAGACCCCGGAAGAAGGAGATTGAGAGGTTACTCAAAAGAGAAGCTAGAGGTTAAATAGAGAGCCTGTCATTTTCGGGCGTCCATTAGAAATCTACCTGAAAGGTGACACGCCAAAAAACAGTACGAAACAGTTTTTTGAACTCAAGCTTTAAGGTACAATGTCCCACTGCAAACCCAACGGGACCATGTAGCTATACCGTGTGTACTCGGGCCTCAAAGTAGTTGCACGGAATCACCTCTGGGCCCAAGTATATACTATACAACTACATGTGGGAAATGATTCGAAGCAGTGGCCTCCCAAAAAGCCCCACGTGTCTGTGTACTTGTTGCTTTCGGGAGCATCAGACTAAGCCTCAAACTCTCAACCTAACTCCACATCCCCGCTTGTCTGGGTCCTTCCTATTGAGTTTGGGGTTGCCGAAATCACCGAACTAAGAAAACCATTATCTGTAAATCTCCTGGGCGCTAGCTTGCAAGCACCCCGCTCACCCTCAGTTCCCCAGCGCCCGTTGTAGAAGTGATCTCCCCATAGGCGTGGCGTGAGCTTCGCTACTTGTTCCTGCGTTGGGTCTGTTGCAGGCTCGTACTCTTACGGAGCCCCAAATGTAGACACCAAAAAAAATGTGGCAATCAACGTGACAACTCAAAGAGCGTCCAGGTCTCATTTCATTTTTAAAGCCACTATAGCGATTGTATTCTGACTATTATTCCTGTCGTTCTCAGAGATCGTCACGACGTTATTGACAGTTGTGAAGCACTGATAAATGATAAAGAGCGCACCGCAGACAACTGAACAAGCAAAACCACCCTAAAGCACCCAGGCCCTAAACGGCAAAACTTAACCAGATCCTTCTCGGAACCTACAGTTTAGCGCCCATAGGGATGTCCTCAGTCCAAGATTTTTTCTTGGCCATCTCTGTGATGAAGTGGGCCAGGGTGAAGCCCCAACCACCAATGGACTCAGCAACGCTCAGGGAGCCTCTCCCAAACACCACGTTGCCGTCCTCCACACACCTATTTTCGGGCTGAAAGAGCAGGAATCGTGTGTCCACTCTTGCCATTCAGCAATTACCGCAAATACTGACCGCGGCTCATGTAGAAACAACTTTATAGGCATAGGGGTTCTATTTTCGCTCCGTATTTCTATCGTAGGAAGCGCTGCATCAATTTCAGCGTCCTTGAATACCACAAGTTGTGAATCTCTTGCGCTAAGAGCGCTTAAAGTGATTTTTTACAAAGATCTTGCCACCCCTAAACCCTAAACCCTAAACCCTAACTCTACGCACTCAAAAACGTCTTCTCCAATCAGGTCCGAGCGACAGAGGCTTCAAGGATGGAACGCCCTCAATCCTCGGTTGGGGTTTACCACTACCTGTACCCCAAATTAGGTAGAATAATGGCCCCAAAAACCTAAAATCAGCCCAAAAGGCACTTATTCTACATACTTTTGGGGTCCAGGTATGGGATATTTGACCCTAAAATTCCCCATTAGGACCCTAATAAGGGTTGGCTAACGTACACGTAAGGTCTCAAAGCCCATCGTGGTAAGCTTTAGGCGCTTGGGGCTCTAGGAGTCTAAGGGTTTGGGATACTCTTGAAAGTCCCCGCCTAACCGTTATAACCTGAAACAAAAACAAAACCCCGAGAGTCTTCAAGAAATAGAATTGTAGACAACTGCTTCCGCGTTGGGATACTACTGGAGCTATTGTGGCAACTATTTACATCCCTTATTCGGGTTTAGTATAGGAAGAATTCAACAAGATCCCACCAAGAGTCATGCTGTTCAGCCTCTCCAAGATGCTATCCAAATTTGAAAAATACTGGTGTTGCTTTGTTGCACTCTTTACCAAGAATCATGCTGTTCAGCCTCTCCAGTATGTTGCAGAGACGCTGGTAGCACAGCTCGTTGTCAGGTTCCAGTGACAGCAGCTTGTCCTACAACAGTTCTTTTGGGTTACTGCTGAAAAGGTGTAGTAATGTTGAGGATTTGTGGTATAGGGTAGTATAAGGCAAATATATTTGTACATCCCATATTCGGGTTGTTCGGTCTGGTAACAAGTGGATTGTTTTTGAAATTTGACCAGAGGAAACCCCACGAGTCTATAAACATCGACGAGAGACAGACCCTCTTCAGATCCCCTCTTCTAATAATGACCCCCCCGCCCCATCGCCTAAGAATAAATAGGCCCAATAGACTACCATCATGCAATGGGAGAAGTTTTCGGGGAATGGTATGTGTTGAAGATTTTTGGGTGTGATTTGCTTGTTGTGTATTGTGACGGCTTTGATATGGGAGTTTCTCATCGAAGGGGCGATAAGCATGGTTTAAATAGTTGGAGAGTCGCACGAACTTCCGCAACCCTGAAAATCTAATTATCGGACGATGGACTAGCTCAAAGACTTTGAGTTTGAGATCTGAGGTTTGTAACTCACTTCCTTAACCTAGTCCTAAATGCCAAGCCCGAAACCCTATCCCCAAAAAAAACTAAACTCCTTGCCCTAAAGCTTAAAGCCTATACCATGGCCCTATAGTGTCCAGCTTGTTCAGAAACAGGACCGGCTGCAGTCCACGGGCCACAGCCGTGCCAAACACCTGACATCCCTCACTTGAAGGCTCATACTACGTACAGCTGGATCCTTTCGAAGGGTGTAGAGGGGAAAAATGGTGTTTTAAGGATATGTTGGGCTTAGGGTTGGATTCATGCTTGGACTCAGTAACTACTTATGACTAGGCTCATTACCATGCCAAACCCCCCTGAGGTACGTTACCTCAATTACAAGTACGGTCATAGGCCCTGTTATGAACCTCCGACGTCCAATGAACCTCCGAACTGAGGTTTAGGATTCAAGGTTTGGGGGTCCTGCTTGGAGAGGTCGTTGTAGAGCTTCCTAGGTTCAGCAAGTAGGATACTCGATAGGGGGGGAGGGTTCGTAGATTGGGAGGCCCGTATAGAAACTTAGTCATATATGGAAAAAACAAGAGATTTTGGCGGTTCCTGCTCAGGATTGTAATGATTTCTTTGAGAAGCTTCCACGTGTCTTACTTGACCCTACACCCTAAATCCAAAACCTTGAATCGTTTGGAAAAACATCCTCAGCCAAGCCCACGCTCTAAGTATGCAATCTGCCGCTGACTCGTTCATGCGAGCCATTGTCTAAACTCCTAAAATCTCCCTTAATAGTCCCTAGAATAGTCCTTTATATAATCCCCTATATAGCTCCATTGCAAGAGTTTAGACTATAGCTCACGTGGAGTTGTTGTTTTGGAGTCCCGGGTCATAGTGTGTCTGTACCATTCAGAACCCGAGCCACAGCAGACCCAATGGGTCCAAGGACCAAAATAAAATGAGTTTAGGGCCCAAATACTATAATATTCATTGTATTTGGGCCCTACAACTCTATTGTTTGAGTCCTGGGCCCATAGGGAGGGTATTCAAGCGGGAGTATGGTACGAGCGCAACAGGGAATGAGAAAACAAAAACTGTACATGGCCTGCCACTGTCCTAGATACTGCCAAGCATGATTTCAGAAAGACTCACGGAAGCCCTTAGTACCTCAATTCTCAAACCCTTTAACCTAGGGGTTATACAAGTTATATAGGGAGATATAGGGTTCTATGGTGATTTGGGTTTCCCAAGATTAGGGATACCAGATTCCAACGACCCTAAACCTCAGCCCAAGCCTAAATGCACTGAAAGGCCTCGACCCAAGCCCTACTTCTGCTTATAACTGGGTCCCCTTGAAGGCTTTTGAAGGATCTATACGGATACACAGGGTTTGGGATGTAGAGTTTATGGTTCATGGGTGTCAGGAACTGTATACCTACATCTGGGCTTATTACAATGCTTCTATGTTGAAGGAACCTACGTAAGTTCAATTCATAGCTCTACAAGTCGGGAAATAGGCCCAGTCAGTAACAGATACTAAGTCCAACGCACCTTAAACTTTAAACCCAACATCAACCCTAATTATCCCTAAATATCCCATACGTCCCTATAACCCTTGTAAAGGGGCCCAGTTTGTTTCAATTAAGACCCCGGGAGCCTGGCAGAAGCTTTCTGTAAGGCCTTCGGCGCAATCCACCACTAAGAGAATGCCATCCGCAAGCGGAAGGCAGTCAGTAATCCTCTCACACACGGTTTAAGGTTACGTACATCATACGAGCTAGAATCTAAACTTCTAGTATCCCCCTCATAAGCCCCAAAATATTCTCATATATTTTCCTTTAACAGAGTCTATAGACCACAGCTCATATTGGGATTCTATGCAGGGATAAGGGTTGTAAAGGGATGAATAGGGATAGTATCCCAAGGGGGAGGTAGTCAGCAATCCTCTTACACATGGATTTATCTAGGGATGTGTAGGATATGTTCTACAGGTTTGGGGGAATTCGGGATTCGGGGTTCCAGATTTGTGGGATATTACCCAATTATAGAGAATCAGCGCGAAAAGAACATGGAAAATGAAATGACAGCGATAGCTAGACGGAACTAAAATGGGGTTAGTGCCCTACCCTAATGTCAGAACCCACTTAATAGTACATGATCCCAGTATTAGGGGGGCGAGGGGGTGAGGAGCATTTTCTCTTTCAGGGTAGGCGATTACTTGTGGTCAGTGCCCCTAAGGGACCCAAATAAGATGGTTTTAGGGCCCAAATACTATAATATTAATGGTATTTGGGCCCTAAAGCCCTATTATTTGGGTCCGAGGACCCTCAGGGTACTGTATGAAGAAGTGGATGAGAACGCGCCAGCAAGTCTTCGCCACGTTGTGCTGAATTTGAAAGGCGCGCTGTCCTAAACCCTAAACCCTTAACTTGGGGCTATAGTTAGGGTTTAGGGTTTAGGGTCTGGGGATAGTCCCCCTTAAGTAAATGGAATATGGCTTGGGGTATATTATAATTAGATCCTTATACACCCCATATTCTTTCTACTTAAGGGGGACTGTAGTCCAAGGGGTCGGGTAAATTGGGCTTACCATCCTACCGAACAAGCATGGCAGCTGATATGGTCCCTTCAACTTCTCAACTGACCTTAGTTCTTGTAGGGCCCGTACTTGGATTGCATGTGAGGGCTTGGGGCAAAAGCGAGCTCAGAGCTGGACCGTCAGAGAGTAAGCGCATGTGCGAAGATAAGCAATAATCCTGAAGCCCCAGTCTGTTAGCCTACTTAGAAAAATCAAAGCCCCAGGCCCGCAAATCAGGACTCTTTCCCATTTTCTTTACGATTTGATTCTCCATTCCCCAAACCCTGAAACCGGAATAGAAAATTAAAAAAATCACATTTCACGACCCATCTTCTTTTCCAGTAGATTCCTTCATAATCCCCTGAGCCCTGGATATCCGTAGCTATCCCTCTATACCCCAAAATATCCATAGAAAAACCCTAAACCTTGGATACTGCCCCCACTCAGTAACAGTTGGATAATACGTATAGTATGGTTATATATAGCCCTTAATAGGACCCCTAACATAGACTGTTACTGGGTGGGGGCAGTACCCAACCTAAACCCTTGGCCGCAGGAGCCCCTAACCTCCTTAAGCGATTTAGCAAGCACGTACAGGCAGTGGCCCCCTCGTTATAAGTGTACCGAGGGTTTAGGGGTTTATGGTTGGACCCCCCGCCCTGTAAGAGCGATATGGAAGAAATATAAAAGGACCCGGATTTAATTACCACTCGCCCTTTATAGTCACTATTGCTATGTGGGGGGGGGGGGTCCGCCTAACTTACAGCTTGCAGAGTAGACCACTAAGTTTACAAGTCCCATGAATCATCATTCATGGGATGTGTTAATAAAGGTCATGTAACTCGAAGAACTCTAGGGCACATTATGAAACACTAGCGCTCTCTACCAATAAAGATGACAACGGACATGATGATGCATTATGGAAGCTTGGATTGTCGCTTGTGCCTACGGAAGCCAACAATCAAGCCCTTGAGCTCATTATCCGAACCAGTAACCCTTTGGCCCCTTCATACCAAAGTGCGTGAACCCGACGCTCACAAAGTGCGTGAACCCGACGCTCACCCAAACTGACATGGATGCTCATATGTCCCTCATTTCAAAACCCTAAACCCCAAATCCTAAACCCCAATCAATAGTCGCTACGAGCTATAGTTATAACTCTTCTTAGTACAGTTGAATTTATGGAATCTGTACTTAACCGACGCGTAACCCGCCTATAAACTTAATACGGGGGGGGGGGAAACCCCGAATCCTTAACGCCATAGATTCTAAACCCTTGAACCCGGAACCCCGTCGACCTTAAGCTCTTTATGAAACCCATGGACCCTAAATCCATTATGAACCCCATAGTACCCATAGACCCCAAGCCCCTTATGAAACCCATAGACTTTAAACACCTTATGAACACTTGTAGACCCTACGTAAAGCCCTTATGAAGCCCATACACCCTGAACCCTAAACCCTAAATTACCCGATACAGCCCCCATCAAAGAGCCGAGAATCTGCTGGACATCCGCAAAGTGCGGGGCTACGAGCTGGAGCCTGACTGTCCGCTTGCTTTCGGTGTGCCAAGGTTTAGGGATTAGGGATTGGGATTTAGGGTTTGGGGTTTAGGGATTTAGGGTTTGGGGTTTAGGGTTTGGGTTTCGGGATTTAGGGTTTGGGGTTTAGGGTTTAGGATTATAGTGCCCCTGAAGCAGATAGAATCCGCCGACCTTGGGGGGCGTGTTGGATGGTTGCCGAAGGCGGAGAGGGTGAAAACCCTCTTCCTTTCTCCCTCACAGCCCCAAAACGCGGTGGGGGGGGGAGGGGGGGGGTGGTAGGGGGGGTATCCCGGCTTCGTTTCCCTGCAGGTCCCCACCTCCGAAGCAGCCGTTTCAGCCGACACCCACGCCTTCGCCAGGCTCCCACCAGGAGGTTTGCGAAAAATGAGAGGTTTGGGTGGTTTTTGTGGGGAAAAGGCCCCAGGCCCCTGGTGGGCCGGGCCCCAAGCCCTGGGGCCCGGGCCCCAAGCCCCCTGGAGACCTGGCCCACAGGCCCCTGGGGCCTGGATC